AGCCATGACAATAGCTGCACACTTAAAGCTTGGCTATACCATTAGTTCAGCCTATAAGCACACTCAAGTTGGTACCATTTCAATCATCTACGATATTTAAGACTGTTAAAATTTTAAAAATACATACATTGAACATTTTCAAACAATTGAACAAAGTCTTGATACCGTTAGAACCGTTTAAAATTGTTAGAAGTTCTTTGGAGATTCAAAGAGGTCAGCTGAATCACTAATTTCTAGTTTCATTAAAAACTCCATGCACTTTGAAAGGTATATTCTAAGATAAAAAGAAAAATATGATTCTTTTTTTTTTTCAACAGGTGTTGGAGCTGTTAGAAATGTTAGGTTTGAGCCATTGCTATGACACTTTATGCGGAAAGCTGTCCGGTGGACAGAAGAAGCGACTAGACGTCGCTTTGGAACTTTTAAGTAATCCTTCAGTATTATTCCTCGACGAGCCGACAACCGGTAATTACGAAATCCATCTGAGCTAGCATTGAACATTCGAAATGCTTGATAAATTCGTATTAATTTTGTTGCTTATGCAACGCTGTGCAAAATACGGTCAGACGAAAGGAGAACACTGATTGTATCTCAGATGCCTAGAATGTGTAATTGTAAATGGCAAAAGTCTATACAAATTTATAATCAGAAAATTGTTTCCTGTACCGTTGCCTTCCTTTTTCTTTTTTTTTTTCTTCTTTTTTTAACATTGTACCATGCGTATGCGATTAAGTAAGTTACTAATTGCATTGCACACGTGATCAACGCTGCTAATTGTAGCTAATTATAGGCGTTCCAATAGAAATGAAGGTCAGAATGTAATACGAAAAAAACAACAATGTATGGTATAATATTTGTTTACAAATTTATGCTCAGTTGATAACTGTGTTAATACCTTGTTATATATTCGTTTTGTACGAGCATAAGGCAATACCTAAGATTCGCACATTTTTCTCCAATGGTAGAATAATTTATCCGGCAAACTTGTTTAACTAGAATTTCAAACCAGCGTCTCCTCTTCTACCAATTGACCTGCATATCTGTTAACTAATAGTGTACTTTAAAGTATGACCATCCGTAGTGTTATCTTAAACACGATAAACGTCACTGCATGTTGCATATATTTCTAATAAACAAAAGTGACACTCAAGTAGGGAGGCGTTGTACAGTTGATTGACGCTTGAATTCGATTAGAATAGTTGGATAAAAGAATGCTTAGTAGCTTCGTTCCGCTGTACAATGTCCTCCTGTTGATGTGATATACGAATGTTGTTTTACAATGGCAGTCTCAGTTCACGGTGCACGGTTCCCATAGTTTCGTAAAACTTGGATTCTGAGAATCCAAAGTTTTTTTTTGAGTAAGAAAAACAAAAGGATTTTTAACGCTTATAAATTTACTTATTTCTATTTCTTATATTAATTTGCATTATTTTGATAATATAAAAACACCTAAATTTTACATTTTAAAGTTCTCCATGTCACCATAACAACGCCATTGAAGTGCAAAGGGTTAATCAATCTAGTGCAACGAACAAGCATGATACGTGCCATGTGTACAAAGCATTAAATAAATACAGGTAGTTCTTCGGACTTTACGCGAATTAATTGCTTCTAAGCGACTGTTCTTACATCGGGAATTCGTAAAGCGAGAGGCTCGTTTTAACAGATCATTACGTCATTACATACTGCGTGATTCCCCGAACAATTTAAAAGAAAAATTCCCATTCAAAGGAATTTGTAAAGTGAGAACTACCTGTATACACTATCGTCCATAAGTATTTGCTCACCTGTTTGTTCATAATGTATTCTTAGTTACTGCAAGCAACTTCATTTAACCAGTTCCAAAAAGAACAGGTCAAGGATTTTACATGTTTTGTAATCTTTATCTAAAAAAAATACAATTCTTTTGAAAAGTTGATCACATCATTTTGAATAAAGAAAAACAAATGTAGATGGTCAAACGTGTATGAGTGGTATAGTGTGTAATGCAATAAGCATAACGTTGCGTTCTTATCGCAAGAGGCCAGGCACATGCGACGTTCACAGTGATACGATTCGCGTTTAGCTGCATCATTGCCCCGGTGATCCACGTAACGAAGCACAATAGCATTTCCTGGGACTGTTCAAATGACTCAAAAACATGATAGTATCATTGTAATTACGCAACGACGACCTCAATCATTTTCAAATGTTTATGTATTTAGTTATTTACAGGGTGCTTAACAGGGTCAACACTTATGTGAAAGTAACTTTTTTTTAGAGAAACAGTATATCAGAAAAGAAAGTAATTTTCAAATGTTAATAACCGAAACCTCTAACACAATTTTTTTATTCTTGATTTTTGTGTTATTTTAGCTTAATTTTCTATCAACTGTTGCTAAACACCTTGAATAAATTCTCTGTATATAAGTGTTAATGTTTTTTTAAACACCCTGTATTTCCACGGGCATTTGTGTAAAAAATAACATAGATAAAAAGCAGACAAAATTTTGATAGTAACAAAAAAGAAAAAAGAATGAGATTAAATGAGACATAAGATTGTTAAGTTAATCCTCTATGATGCCGTGTGACTTGAATGTCACGTATCTATTTATCTATACTTCGTAGGTTTCATGTTACTTCTTTAAAAGAAACTAATCATCTTGAATTCTGTTAGAAGATTGTGAAAAAACTTTCTATTTGATTTTAAAAATCTTAAAGATCTTAAATTGATCCTTGTTTCCAGGTCTGGACTCGTCCTCCTGTAGCCAGTGCATCGCGTTGCTGAAGCGTCTCGCTAAAATAGAAAGGCGCACGATAATATGCACGATACACCAGCCGAGTGCGTTGCTCTTAGAGATGTTTGATGCCATTTACACGGTCGCCGGTGGATATTGCATATACAGGGGGCCGGTTAAATCGTTGTTGCCTCACATGTCCTCGGTTGGGGCTGATTGTCCGCCTTACCACAACCCAGCTGACTTTCGTACGTAGAACAACATTCCATTCGAGCCGTTTTCCTCATACACAAGATCGCGAACCACTCTTGGTTAGGTGTAAAATCTTCTCATTTGTGAAGGACAACAACCAAATTTAATGTTAGTTTATCGTTACAGTTTTGGAAATTGCGATAGGAGATTATGGTATCAGCGTGGACAAATTGGCGGCTGCCGCTGATACAATGTGCAAAGATGACAAGTCCGTTACGTATACGATGAAAGCCCAGTTAGACGGTAATTGCAGTGTATTCTGATCTATTAAATTGTAACTAACTACATGTGTGAATTCCATAAAGAACTTGGACTCACTTAAGACTTCAAATTTTAATAAAGTTTGCAAAGAATCCTGTTTTTTTTTAATACTAACAATAACATAAAATCGGACTCAAACGTAACAATAGCTTTAAAGTTACATTTCGCACTTACGCATGCGCGCTGGACTCTATTCGACACTATCACGCATGCGCATATGAGTTTAAATGTAACTCATATGTACTGTTGGCATGGACTGAGTTTAAATTTTCAAAATTTTGAATTTTATTGGTTTAAATTCAAATGCGAATAAATTGAATTTGATTGGATGAATTCAAATGGTGCTTACTTTAATGGTAAAACTATACTCTGCGTTTAGGGCTGGTTTTATGTGCATCACTTGATACTATTTTTACTATTCACTGTATTCTATCAACGCAGATAACACAAAGGAACCACCACCACCGGCAGGGTTCATTGCTCAATGTTACCTACTGTATAAAAGGCAACTACTTTCCCTGAAGAGAGACTACACGTTACTGGTGGTACGTCTCTTGTGTCATCTGCTAATAGGGGTAATCTTTGGCTACCTCTATATGGGAAGCGGTTACAGAGCCACTGGTGTCCTAGCTAATTACGTTTACCTTTATGGATCATTACTACTGATCGTGTACACCGGCAAAATGGCCGTTACTCTTGCCTGTAAGTATATACCAATAAGTACATTAGAATATCTACTCAAATTAAGACCTAGAAACTTTCTCCTCTAAATCACCCTCCAGTCTCTCTCCATAATGCTGCTTCTCTACTTTTCTCCTTTCAGTTTTAGTTCCTGTTACCAGTGGCGATACATCGACTAACACATGAAGTTTCTTTTCATTTTCAATCACCTCGAAAATTGTCCAGATTTATCCAGAGATCTTACTTGCGTGTAGAATTTTTTGCAAAGTCACCATTTTAACGTTGACATCCTGAATACATCTTTCACGATTTCTTTTCCTGTTGGTTATCAATATCCAGCCAGACTTGATAAATCTTATTTCTAATTGTTTTCCACGATTTACGATGTCCCGAAGAACCGGATTCTGAAGTTGCTCCAGATTTTTTCTCTTACGTACACGTATCTCCTTCATATTTTAGGAACAAAAAAAAAACGATGAAGAAAATAGAAATTTGTAAAATTACACCTTCTTGAATGAGGAGATCGAGGAAACGAAATTATAATGGCGAAATTATAAAGTCGAAACCCAGTTTTCTGCGATTCAATACCTTCCTCGTGTTGCTATCATTCGCGTCACTACTAGTAGAGAATCTAGGTCAAGGAGCGGGCGTTTGTATCTTTGAATCGTGTAGAGTTAACAGTGACTGTAGCAGGCATTCACTCCCATGGGTCGTATGCATCTTTTTTGCCTATTAAATCTGGCGTGTTTGGAATGCTTTCGCCACTTCTCCTTTCTCATGATCGATACATCATCGTTTCGCTTATTTAAATTGTTGCCGTAAACGGTGTCTGTCCTAACCAGTTTCTTTCTTTTGATTTTTTCGAGAAAGTGTTTCAAGGTGAATTTAGTCTATACTTTAGTGTTCTGTACGCTTTAGATGAAAAAATTGAAATGGGTATGCAATACTTAAAGTATCAAAAATAACGATATTTGTTATTTTACGATTAAATCTCCGAAATAAATCGTTCTCTGTGTTTCACGTTGTTACATAGTAAATAGAAAAATCTTTGAGAATATCTTATCAGAATTTTTCTTAATTTAAAATAAGATCCTCTATTTGTTTAAGTGAGACGCAGTATTATTTATGGGTTGAAGGAAACTTGTTTATCATGTCATTAGTATTTATATTATACAATTTAACGAAGAAATGTTTGGGTTGCTTTAAGTTCCACAGGAGATGCGGATTCTCTCGAGGGAACACTTCAACCGATGGTATCGGTTGGCGCCGTACTATATTAGTATGCTACTAGTGGAAATACCGTTCCAAACGTCTTGTGCAGCGACCTATTTGGCCGTGAGTTACTGGTTAACAGGGCAACCCGTGGAAACCCCTCGAATAATTAGTTTTATGGTCGTCAGTATAGCCGCCAGCTTGACGGCACAAGCTTGGGGCTTTTTCATCGGTGCAACAACACCAGTAAAGGTATACATACATTTTTTAGACATCTTTTTAAAACACATCATTATGTAGAAAATCGTAAGATTATTGTGAAATAGTTTTAAATATTTTAAATAAATATTCCTCTTTTATGAAGTATATACATTATGGTTAGTCATTGCGTGAATATGGATGCACTCGAATTAAAATGCTATCGAGTTTTAAATGTAGTGTATTGAATGCGGGAATCCTATGTGCTTGCTCCAATGAATTTAATTGACTTATTTCACAATGGTATTTACCTGTTTCATAATACACGAATGTTATAAATCTATAAATTATATAAATAAGAATAACGATGACACTTCTATATATTCGAGCTACTGTAATGAACGATTAATATCTACATAAATAATGAACTTAGCATTTTGCCTGACATTTTCTGATATAACTTCAAACGTAACAACATAACAAAGATTGTTGATACTATAAATGTTATCAGTCTCGAAATTCTTAACGGTAATTCATGAGACAGAGAAAGTGAAGAGAAAAATGAATATGTATTACCAACGTGACGTTTATAAATTGTGCGCATCTGTTTAGCGCAGTATTTTGCTGTGCGCCTGAAAACACTGATCCACCGTGCATATTCTGCAGCGACGAAAATTGTCGATAATTCATGGAGTGAAAATAAATGAAATATGTGTAACCTTTTCTGTTTGTAGATTGCGGTATTCGCAGGACCCATAATCGCTGTGTTGTTCTCTGTATTCGGATTTTGTATCCGTTACATGGACACGCCGCATATGTTCCGCTGGATGTTTCACATATCATACTTTCGTGCCAGCTTTCACAGCCTCTTGCACACTGTCTACGGTTTCGATCGAATGGATCTGAAGTGTGACGATTTCTATTGTCACTATAAGAAACCTACCCAATTCCTAAAAGAAATGGACATCGCGGACACGAGTATCGCGAACAATCTGATTCTGACCGTCGGTATAGGTGTATTAATGCATTTATTGACCGCTAGTGCTCTCTGGTGCAAACTTAACAGGAGATAAAGATTATTAGACTTTTGATTTCGGTGATTCAGTATTGTTCTTGGCCGATTGCGGCTTGTTTGTCGTAAAGTTGGCGACGAAAGTGTTCCTCTGGGGCCTCGTGGAAACGGATCAATAAAACGTTGAATTTTTGATGTTGCATTAACGTCAATTTTCTGCCAACTACGAATATTATCGTTTTTCTATGAGTCATCTTACTCGACGAAAAAAAATGCTTAAATTTCACAAAATTGTCCATTGAAAACTGTAAAGTAAACTTTTGCACTGTACTTACAGGGTATGGAAAGACATATTTGAAATCAACCACTAGTGGATGTGTACTGAAAATTTTCGGCAATTCTCGATGGCAATGTGTTAACTTAATCGTACTATTAGCGAATAAAACTTCTGATTTTAGATTTATTATTACACGTTATCCCATGATTACCGTGTTACGGGACTATTAACTTATTACACATTTTTCTATCGAACATATTTCCTATATATTAGAAACTTTCGTAAGTAACGAGTCACGAAAGCTTTAAAATACCTGCGGTAAGCTGTTATTCGAGGTGTTTATAGGTATTACGTGAACGTAACAGCATGTGCATAGTAATTAAGAAACATTTTTTTATTACATTTTCATACACTACAATGTTATTGATTATCTAATGACATACACTGATAATAATCGTACATTGTAATTAATCAGCGTTCCGTGTTAAGTGCAATTGTTGTATCATTATAATGAGATCTAAGCAATTTATCTACATAAGAACATAACTGTAAACTACAGTTTCAATCAAACATAAGGTTTCAATTATCAATTTGAGAAATTAATGGTGACACTGGAAAAAAATTGTCCATCCAGAAGCACTTGTATGTGAGAATTTATTATAAAGAATAAGACAAAAGAAATTATGCGAGTAATTGTGCAAAAGCAATGTGATATTATATTGATTGTAATATTAATATTGGAGCATTGTTTATATTTTTTTATTCAATACAATCATTATTAAATGGTAGGCGATGATTTTGAGATAATGATCCGCGTATTCCTGTTTTATAGCAGACTAGCAATATTGTTAAGTTGATTCTTTGAAAATATTTCTTTTTTTTCTTATCTTTATTATAACGGATCTATTTTCTGTGATATATTTGTTAGACATTTTTGTAACATTAAATACATAACAGTGCTTAAGTATAACTTTAGGTAAATTAAAAAACCTAAATAAGAATCCTCTTGTAAGAATCAACCTTGACAATTTAATATGCTAGCTGAAATGTATTCCTAATACGAACAACTTTAATCTGTATCAACATTATAAATGGAACATTAAGCTATATTTTTCACAGTTTCGACTTTTTACAATATTTATTATTTCTAGATGGTGAAATCTTTCTGCTTGCAGAAAAGCAGATTATTAAATTACCTATGACATTATACCCTATGAAATAAATAAAAGCATTTATAAAACTGTGCTACCTATTATCCAAAAAAAATTCATGAATAATTATTGTCAAGTTATAACAAACGTACGATTAAACTTTGTTATTTGGTGATGAATCTGTCGGTAAAATAAACACCTGTAATAACAAAACATCCGAA